TTTGCTCTTTGATTTTCCTTTTTCTGGACTCTATGGCGACCACTGCACTGTTAAGGCATAAGTGAGTCTTTCACTGAACTGGATTTCCTAATCTCAATGCATTTCTGAATCACTTCTTACAGACGTTAGTTATTTACGGATATTGTAAACTTGATTTTTATGAGGAATTTTTAGATATTTGAGTGCAAATATGTATTCAATAAAGCATTTAACTTGGAAAAAAAAGACCTTCAGTTCAGTTCAGACCTTGATCTTGCAGCTTATTTTCTGCAACCATGGCCCAACCAGGACCACTGAGAGACAGTTTCCCTATAGCTCAATAAAAAACACATGTTCTTCACAATATCTGTCCTGTCTGCCTCATAAAGTTGTTACAGAAATCAAACAAGATGATGAATCTGAAAATATATTGAGACTTCAGCTTAATGCCATCACTTTTTCTCATCTGCTTCCCATATTCAACAAACATGTGCCAAGCACTTTGCTGGGGTCTAGATGTAGTGATAAACTAGGGTCTATGCCCTCAGGGAGAATACAGCCTAATAGAAGAAACTGACAAACTTTTACACCAATGAGGACCACTTTGGGTGCTGAGGAGACAGAGAAGGACCATCTGTGTGGGAGAAGATTTGAAGCAAAGGCCAGGGAACACTTCTTGGGGGTGGGCCAAATCCTAAAGAACCAGGAGGAAGTATTAGTTAAGGTAGGAAGGGAAGGATGTTAAGGCATAGGGAACTGAGCATGCAAATGCTTGTGGGCTCAGAGAACTCAGAACTTCTTATTTGCTGTTGTTTTTGTTATTGTAGGGGATGTGAACTGTATGACTGGAAGATATCGAGCAATAGAAATAAGGTGTTCATGGAGGCATGCAATCGGTAAGAGATTTTGTTCTGCAATTATTTAAGGACTTTAAATGGGGGGAGGTATCACATGGTAAGACGTGCTTTAGATCATTTTGGCAGCAATGTGAAGGGTTAGAGGGAGAGTGGAACCAAGAAATGGGGGCCAGTTAGAAGATGTACAGAAATTCAGGCAAGAAATGGGGATAATCTCAGACAATGGAAAAGAGGAAAGAGGGATGATGGAGAATTAGAAGGTAGAAGGATAATACTTGATACCACTTGATGGGGTAGAACAAGGGGAAACATGATCAGCATGGACGGGGCATTTCCCAGCTTCTAGACTTGCGCAGTGAAGTGGACATGGTGGTTTTAACTTGAAGCTTGTAGCTACTTAGGGAGACAGGTAGCTTTTTGAAAACTCATATTCTGAGAGTGTTTATCAACTAATCAGTATCTTCTTAGGAATTATTTAATGGCACGTATTAAAACCTTGTTCTTTTTACTGTTATCAGTGACATAAGTAGAAATTTTTTAATAGGTATGTGTTTCTTTTTAATCAACTTGTGGTTGACCACATAATATAGGCAGGAAAGTGTATGTCAGAGATCTGATCAGGATTATTTTTAATGTTTTGCCTGAAGGGGACTGAGATAAACAAGATACAAATTTTAAATGATAAATGTACAAACCACCTAACTTGTACAAGTATAGGTTAATAAAAATCTAGATTTTTATAATAATACCAGGTAATAGCAATATGGCAATTAACATGTATGCAGAGCTTTTGATTTTTTAGGACATTTAACTATATTTCCTTATTTGAAGTCCTCAACAACTCTCTGTGAGGCAGATATTTTTCATTTCCATTTTATGAAGAAATAAATTGGGCGGTAGAGAGGTTAAATCATATTTCTTATTCACATTGTCATGAACACATGTTAAGTGTGAGGAAAATTTTTCTAATAATCAGAGCTGCTTTGAATGGAAGAAGCTGCCTGGCAGCAGGTCCCAAGTATTGAGAAAGTTTCGGCAGAGCTGGTGACTACCTGCCAGAGATGTTGCGCTGTGGGAAATGACTCCAATAGGCAAGAATTTGCACCAGATGAGTTTTTGTGTTCAAGGATTACAGAGTCATGGGATATGAACTTGATAAGGTCCTGGGGGCTAATTGATTCCATCCTCTTCGTTTCAAGAATGAGAAACTGAGGTCCAGAAGGTCATCTTGTCCAAGCAGCTGTGCAAATTGGCTGTAGGTAGGTGATCTCTAAACTACAATGAATGATTCTTTGAGAATATTGGGGAAGGGAGAAAAAGGGGAAGAAAGAAATGAGTGGAGAAAATGATTGGCATAATGTCCTCAATCACCACATTTTTTTCCCGAGGATTGTTCTTTTGCAGAATAAAAGGAGTAGCAGGTGAGATGCTTCTTTTATGGCCAATGGCATTTATTGCCCTCTACTATTTGCAGGAAATTAGTAATACAAAGAGGTTTGAAATATGGGCCTCATGCTAAAAGCTCTTCCAAGCAGTGTGGTAGGCAGAATAATGGCCCTCCACAGAGACCACACTATTCCTCAGAACCTATGACTGTTACCTTACACGGCAGGAGGGAATTTACAGATGTGACAGAGGGTATGGAGCTTTAGGTGGGAAATTATCCTATGGGCCCAATCTAATAATCGCATGAGTCTTTAAGAGTGGAGAAACTTTCCCAGCTGTGGTCAGAGAGAGAGAGAGATGGAAGGGGAGTCAGAGAAATATACATGCGATGTGAGAAGGCCTAGACCTGCCATTGCTGCCTTTGAAGATGGAGAAAGGTGGTCATGAAACAAGAAATGTGGGAGGTCCCTTGCACCCAGCAAAGGCCAGGAAACAGATTCTCCCCAAAAGCCTCTGGAAATGAACACCCTGCCAACACCTTGATATTGGCACAGAGAGACCAGTGTTGGACTTCTGGCCTCCAGAACTGAAGGTAATTTTTTATTGTTTAAGCCACCAAGCTTGCAGTAATTTTTACATCAGCAACAGAAAGCCAATACACAATTAAAAAAAGAAGCTATGTTGACATGGAAAGTTAAACAGCCATAATCAACATCCCCTAGGAGACACCAATCTGGGGTAAACACAGTCATGCTGATAGTGATAGCTTGTGTTCTTTCGTCTCTGCTTTTAGTTGGTAAGAGAACCTCTGGCTTATCTTTCCTTTTTCCTTTAAAACCCTTTCCTCAACTGTCCCTGGGGGCCCTTGAGGCAGTGGCAGACCTCATAAATTTTCACCCAGTCAAACCCAGCTCTTACATACAGTCCACTATCTTCCTTTTCTGCTTAGATCTCTTGCTAATGTCTGTGGTTTTCTTAATGCCCAAGAAGCCCCATTTAGGTCCCAGATGTTCCTGCAGCAGCTCTATTGTTCACTCTATTAACAGCTGCCATCAAGGCTGCTGTTTCCCTGCCCCATGTATGCCTTCCAGGCAGGCCACAGGATCTGGGGCACTCCTGCTACCCTCCAGTGGTGAAGGTGGATGCGTTCTGAGATGAAGGCTTTCCATAGGATTCAGTTTTAAGTCATGAGGCCTCACCCACAGGCCTTTAAGAGGCACCATGCTGAACACCAAGCTCTTTTTGCTATTGGGCAAAGCCTGCGTGCTCGGACTCTTTTCCTTTATTATTGATGATTTCACAAGCATTTCTCTGTGCCTCATGTAGATTTCAGGAGTGTCCACCCCAGCAGACTGCATGCTGGGATTGCTGATAATTGCAGAATTGCACAGGAGAGAATACGCTAAATAACATGTGCATGGATAGCAGGGTTTAAAGCAGAGCAGGATCATGTAGAATAAACAGCAGAATGAAGAGATCCCTAGTGTGTATTTCAGTGTGATTTCCTGCTGTTCAGCACTTTACATGAGCAGAGCAGGTAATGAACACTAAATACACGCTTATTAAATTAATAGTGAGGCAGAAATAACCATCTGGCAGGGATGGTGGGACTGAATCACTGCTGAAAATGAGTCAGAAGGCCAGAAATATGAGACAGAGGTAATAAGTGAAATTATAAGAGAATGAACACTTGGAAAGAAGAGAGCAGTAACAGATATCTAGCCACAAGTTTGTGAGTATATGTGTGGAACCTGTTTGTACCTACTGTTTAACTAGTATTCTATCTAGTAGGTGCTTAGGAGTTTTTATGGCTGAACATTGACATTTCAAGGGTTTTCTTTATCCTAGAAGTTTTAAAAATGTATTTGTTTGAACTGCTTGATAAAATGGGAGAGTAAACTTTTGTCTTGCCCTCTTTGTTATGTTTTATTTTTTAAAAAATCCCTAGGTCCTAGGTTATAACTCCTATCACTCTTAAAGTTTCTGGACAATAATGAGATTTCTAAAAAGAGTTCTGTGTCAGTATGCAGTCTAGCCACATGCTAGCAGGTAGCAGGAATCACAAAACGAGAAAGCCTCAGTCTTCATCCTCAAGCAGATTCTGAGCGCTTGGGGAAGCAGAGGAGGAGATTTCATAATATAAAGCTCAGATAAGTTCATGTGGCTTTTATTGATCATGTATGACATAAAGGATGAAAAGAACAGTTTACTGATGAGCCTTCATCCTTTTTAAAATTGAGGCCAAATTCATGTAACATGAAATTCACCACTAACGATTTTACAGTGTAAGCTTCAGTGACATTTTTAAAGAGCTCCAAAGGATATCAAAATTAGTAGGGAAGACTATACTACATGGGTGAACTGAAGCGTCTCAGTCTCTAAACCCCTGCACATCTCATTGCACTCAAATTTTTTCTGTACTAATGGGTACCCCTTTCTGCTCAGTTTGCTATCAATGCTGAACAAACCGGTCACCTATGTGAGTTATCTACGACCTGTATTTTTTTAATAGAACTTGTATGAGGTGTTAGATCTAACCTGGAATTCTTTCAGCTGCACTGTTTCCTATGACTGTAAATTCCCTGTGTGCAGGTAAAGTAACTAGCTTGTCCACTGCTCTCCTTAGAGGAGAGCCCAGTACAGAGATTTTAAAAGCATATGCTAATGATTGATTACCTACTCCTGAGAGTTTCATTTCCACTTGCTCCTTATCAATTCCCTCATGTCATGGCAGTGGTCAGTATTACCTGGTACACCGAGCAAAAGCTTGGGGCGGTGCCTGTCCCTGGAGGCACTACCAGTCGGCTGAATGGCAAATTCCGAGACCATTTTGAACACCAACGAAGGCGGGGCTATTAGAGGCGGACGGGAGGTGGCGCTGTTGCGCTTCACCAGGATTTTCCATTTCCACTTGGACGGACGTCTCCAAGATACCCGATCGCCAGGCAATCACCAGAGAAGGAAATCAGCAAGTGAACCAGCAACGAAGTCCAGCTTTGACAGTTTCAGCAGAGATTTCCCGCTGGCTAGCTTGCGGTGAGTCCCGGAAACCCCCGCTCCCGCAGACTTCCCTTTGCGGGGAGCCCGCCCCAGCTCCATCCTTCGCGGCAGCGCCGCCCCACGGTGGGAAGGAGAGCCTGAAAAGCATTTCCTTGAGGCGGACGCCCCTCGTCGTGCCCAAACCCGTCACTTTCTCGTTTTAACTGCATGTCGAATTGCATCTGAAACCAGCGCGCGGAGGAGGGACACGGTAGTGTACGGGGGTGGGAGGGACCGGGGTCGGAGGGGGGGCGGTGATGCAGCTAAGGGTAGCCTCCGGCATTTGGGAAGAAAAGGAGGGAGAGGCCGAGAGTGGAGAGGCAGCGAGCGGCTGCGGGTATTTTATGGCAACAAAGAATGATGGCCAGGTCAATGACTGTATTTCTTTGGAAAATGTATCTTGTGGGTTTTGGTTCCTGTGTTTTCATGACAAGAGGCTAAACTTGCTTCAGCCTTCTTGGTGCAGAGGGGCGCAGCCGGAAAGCCTAGTGGTGGGGGGCCCCTGCGGTCCCTGAAGAGGGGCAGTCAAGGCAGGGGAGGGGGCAACAGCAGGGCTCAGGAACTGCTTGTTACGGGACCGTGCGGTCGTTCAGACTGTGGTCTGGGGCTCGCTGCCCCAGCTTCAGCCTCCTCATCCCGTAATGCATGAATCATAACGTAACTACTAGGTGTAACTGTAAAATTTGAGGTAGTGTCTGACGTGCTGCTCCTTGCTGACTGACTCTCTGTTTTCTTAATAATTTGTCTTCCTCTCGTCTCTCCTTCCTATCAGTCCTGCAGCCTCGTCCCGGTCTTGTCTCCTTTCTTTCCTTTTCATTTGTGTAACTGTGGCCTCCTTGTGTTACCAGGCCTGTGCCAGTGCGAGTCTCCCACACATGGCCCCCCAGGCTTTCTTCCCACTTAGAGCAGTAAAGCCGCTGAGCTCCTGTAACGTGCAGCACACACACTGAAATGCCCTGGGAACAGGGCTTCGTGCTGTCGACCTGGTTTGCTCTCCTCTGCCCTCCCCACAGCCGGCTGGGGCCATCCGGGGCTTTCAGTGACACGGGGCAAAGGGCAGGCGAGCCTCCGGGGCGTTGCAGGTCTGCTTCCAGACCACTGCAGTAAAGCGTATATTGCCATAAACTGATTCAAATGAGTGTTTTGGTTTCCCAGCGCATGTAAAAATTATGTAACACTCTGCTATAGCCTACTAAGTGTGCAATAGCATTAATCTAAAAAAGTGTTCCTACCTTGATGAAAAAAATTTGTCAAAAAATGCTGTCATACGAACTTTCAGCAGATTGTAATCACTGATCACAGATCATCACAACAAATGTCATAATGAAAAAGTTTGAAATATTGTGAGAATTACCAAAATGTGACCTAGAGATACAAACTGAGCAAGTGCTGTTGGAAAAAGGGGGCTGATAGACTTGCTCGGCACAGGGTTGCCTCAAACCTTCAATTTGTAGAAAAGGCAATGACAGAGAAACTGCTATGAAACAAGGCACACCTGTTACTGCCTCAGTGACAATCACATACCCCTTCCTCAGGGCCTTCAGCACTGTGTTAAGTTTCCCAGGGCTGCAGTAACAAAGTAGCACAAACTGAGTGCCTTCAACAACAGAAATTTATTGTGCCATGGTTCTGGAGGGTCGGACTCTGACATGAAAGTGCTGGCAGGGTTCTAACTGAGGGCTGTGAGAGGAGGGGCTTCCCCAGGCCTCTTCTGGCTTGTCGTTCATAGGACATCCTCCTTGCAAATGTTCTGTCTTCAGATTTCCCCTTTTAAGGACACCAGTCTTACTGGATTGGGGCCCACCTTAATGACCTAATTTTACCTTGATTATGTCTGTAAGACCCTCTTTCTAATAAGGTTACAGTCAGAGGTATGGGAAGCTAGGACTTAAATGGATGAGTTTGCAGGTGGCACACTTGAACCCATAACAATGACCAGTTCTCTAGCTGTGCACAGCCTCAGCGTTAGTAGAGCACCATATTGATTTCAGTTGTCTTCTGCAGAAACTTTATTTTTTCCACCTTTCCCACCCTCTCACAAACAGCTCCTAGAAGCACATGTTCCAAACTTCTACAGGGAGTTATGTGATTCTGCAGCTCTATTTTGTTTAAATCTAAGTGTGTTCCCTTCCTATTGCTGCTGTAACAAAATCACCACGAACTTTGTAAAACAACACAAATTTTTATCTTATGCTTCTGCAGGTCAAAAGTCCAAGATGGGCAGGCAGGTCTGCTTTCCTTCTGGATGGTCTAGGGGAAAAACTTTTTGTTTTTTGTCTTTTCCAGCTTCTGGAAGCTGCCTGCATTTCTCAGCAGGATTCTTCCACTGTCTTGAGAGCTCGACCAGGTCTTCCTCACGTCCTGCATGCTGACACTGACGCTTCTACCTCCTTTCACATTTCAGGATCCTTGTGATTACATTGGACTCGCTGGATGATTCAGAATAATCTCCCTATTTTAAGGTCAGTTGAGGAATTCCATCTACAATCTTATTTCCCCTTTGCTATTCTAATACTGTTGAAAACTAAGATATTCAAGTTCCAGAGATTTGGACATGGACATCTTTGGGGAGGGGAGTGGGGGGGCATTATCTGCTTGCCACACTGCACTTTCAATTACTTTCTTTATTAGGCTTATTGTCCTATTTTCGCTCTGAGGGTTCATTGTTCTACTATGCATAGCAAAGAACTTTGTAATCTCTTTATAGAGAACAGCAGGATCTTACTAATGAGATAACTAAAAATGTTTCCCCATTGGGCAGAAATCTGGGTTCCATGTTATTTCTTATGTACCACGGTACAAAACTCATATGTTTAGCATTAGTTGAATCCTTTATACCCAATTAATTTGTGGAAATCATTTTTCTATAAAAATTCCTTTCAGATCCAATGCTATTTTTATAGGTGAAGTTAGCGATTTATTCACTGAGCAAGCATATGAGTCCTGAGACGTGCCAGACACTGGTCTAGGTGCTGGGGGTACAGTGATGAAGAAAATAGCCAAGGTCCCTGCTTTCTTATTGTCATGAAGGTGTTATGCTTTCCCTTCTAGCTCTGTCACTTCATGTTTGCCCTTCCCATGAGCTCGGATTTAGCTGGTGTCAGTTCCCTAACACATCTCTGACTTCAGAGGTGGTTGCTGCTGGGTGCCTACTTCTGGGCAGTGCTAATGAAGGGCCTAAAGATGCTGCCTATGCCCTCAGGAAAATTACCTTCTGGTTGGGAAAAAATAGATAATCTCTGGCAAGTTGGTGGAGTACCGACCGAATAATTAGGTTGGGTATTCCATGCTCCATATTAACTTCTCCTTTCTTGGACACAGTTTCTAGCCAGGGGACTTGAAAGTAGATGGGAAGGGATGTAAACAAAGGAAAAGCTAATTGCACAGACATCGGTGTAGAGCAGAGGGTCCTGTCCTGAGTCCAGGGAACTGAGGCTGTATTAAGCTCTGACACTCTTCCTTGTGAGCAAAAACAAAGCACTTTCCTTAGCGTCCATAGCTGCTTTCTTTTTCTTTTTCTCTTTTAGAAAATGAAGGTTGGAAGTGGACTTGGAATTTTCAGGAGGTTCTTCCAAGTTTAAAAGGTGAGTGTTTTGTTTTCAAATTGTTCACAATTTCTCTTGAGTTCCCTAACCAGAATAATAATAAGTAAGAGTTCAGCTGGGGAAACAGTCACATCTGGACAAGGAAAGGAAAATGAGGATGGCGTGAAAGGGTGCCTATCCATCCCTTCACTTCAGCCTCTTTTCCTGAAGTTTCTCTCACCTCCTCAACCTCAGCTCAGGGGCCTCCACTCCATTCCCCTTCCTACAACTCCTACAACTCCAGCCTGATTGCACAGTGTGGATGCAACTGTGCGGAGCTGGGAATGCCATTTCCTAAGGGTGAGTTTTCAGGGACCAGTACCTCCTGATGCTTAAGCTTTCTCTAACCTTTATCAACCCCACTGTGTCCCAACTTCCAAGTATCTCATTTGCCCCTGACTCAATCTGTTTCCTCATTTATAATGTAAGTGTTCTTGGCTTGCAGTAGCCAGTTGTCAGCTCAGCCAATTCTTAATAGTTGCCATGATCAAAGAAATTTGAAGGCAAGGATTGCATTTTTCAGACCTACGGTTTCACACTTTTATGGACTAAATTACCGGCGAGAATTGTAAGTGAAAAGGAAACTTGTTTTAATTGTTCCTTCTACAGTTGTTAAAATCTTGTAGCCTCAGCCCCTTCTTTATATATTTAGCAGTGGTTCTTAAAATTGTCAGTTAACAAAATACATACAAATATAATGCTATTTCTAGAACACTGATCTAAATTAAGATTATCATATGTGTATAATTCTAGGCTATGTTAGAAGTCTAAGAACAAATTATAACAGACGGTAAAGGTTAAGAAAAAAAATGTGTTTCAAAAGGTACATTGTGGCCATAGGAAAATATGAACAATATGCATATAATACTGATATTTCAGCCAGTTAGCTTTCTGGAGAAAGCTTGAAAATGATTAGCTTTCATCTTATAATCAGTTTTGAATGATTTAACCAAACATACCATACTACTGGGTAAATGCAGGGTAGGGGTTGAATAACTTCAGGAGACACCATTTATGCTATGTTCATAACATGCTATCAATGGACAGAGGAAGCATATTGGCCAAAGATAATAATGAATTTAGCGAAGATGACCTAAGCACTATTTTTTTTTCTGACAGTAATCAGCTGTCAGGACCAATCGTAAGTCAAAGCCACCCCTATTTTGTGTCATTAGGATCAACTTCTCTGAAGTGTCCCTGAAGTCAGATGGGGCTGGTATGGCCTAGACTGGGCTCCTGCTGACCCTGGCCTAGTGCTCTCTGACACCCCTTCAGCTGGGCCCGACTTTAGTGGTCCCTCTGGCCGGAGGCCCAGGCAGCAGGAAAGGTCTTGTTTATCTGAGTAGTAGAAGTAACAGGCCTGGCTTCTGGTTCAAGGAAGAAGGAGCAGGGCTAAGGGAATGTTGAAAACCTCCCTTGACTGCCTTTTTTCCATGAGATTTATGGGCAGATTCTACATATCTAGCCAGTCTGATCTGAACTGCCCTGCTCCCTGCCTCTGTGGTCTTTCCCTGTAGGTCTCAGTGCCTGAGCCCTTTAACATTCCTTAGGGCTGATACCCTAGTATGAGTCAAAATGAGTTCTGACGGAAGAAGAGGAAAGAAGTAGAATATTTACTAGAATATTCTTTAAGCCCTGCAGTGCCAGGAATGAAAATACAACTGGCATGTGAGGTCTCTAGTCTTCTAACGTTGGGCAGGGATGGGGTAGAGTTCCAGAGGCTAGTCCAGAAACATGTTACAGCCTAAGGGCCTGGCAGGCAGAAGAATCTATGAACGCGTTCGCACATGATGAATTCCAAGAACCAGGATCTTCCTCCCTACCCTCATTCAAGGAGGCCAAATATTCAGTCAGCCTTGGGAATGGTGGGCGGCATAGTGAAAGGGCACCAGAGGGAGACTCATGACACGCAATGCCAGTCTTAGCTTAAGGGCTCAGTAACTGTTGGAAGATCCCTAAATTCTGTGCCTCAGTTTCCTCACCAGTAAGTAATGGAGGGTAGGGTTTTTAGTTGTTGTTGCTTTCAAAGGGCTCTTCTGGTTGTGCAGACTTAGAATTCCACGGGATTTGTGGAGCATGTGTTGGATTTCATAGTGTGCTGGTCAGGCAGAATAGAAATGGAAGGCAGGGTTGCTATGTTATTGTTACTTTAGCAGGAGGTGTGACTGCAGTGGCACAGAAGGTGTGCAGTGACTTCCCTTACAGTGTGGGGACAAGGTGGCTTTTGACTCTGAGAGTTGAACCCGCTGTGTTTACATCCCTTCTTGAAGCAGCTCCTGTAATGCCAAGTGCCCCGGCGTTCACTCCCTGTCTTGACCTCAGCCACAGCCCACTCTTAGGATGGTCTAATCATGGATTCATGACCAGGAGGTCCCTCATCTGATCAGCTATGATTGATTTTCTGACCCTAGGCAAGTCACCTGTCACTTAGATCTTAGTGTCGACATGCAATATGAAGTGTTAAAACAGCCATGGATTATTCTGAAGTGGCTCTTAAATAGTAATGAAGATAACTTTGAAGAGTATTCCAATTTTGCCAGGGTTGGGAAAAAGAGAAATGTGGATAAACCAAATGTTTTTATAATTATCCATAAAGCACCTCCTGTTCACCATGACCACATTTATCTACATCTGCTCTTCTTTGGCTGATATTAAAATTGATTATTTTTAATTCACCGAGTTAACATTGGTAAATAGAGACCAGTTGACCTTAAAAATAAAAGTATGAACTTAGGTTATCTATACACAGATGGTCAGTAAAGATTTGACAACAGCAAGGCCACAGATCGTGGGTATATAGATATTCAGATAATGGGTGAGATAAACTGCCTATAGAAATAAGTTCATTGAACCCTGGAATGGAACTCTCTGTGCTAGATAGAAATTCTTATATCTTCATACCTGAGTTATGAGATTTAACAGTGATATTGGGGGCTACGCCTTTGTGGCTTTTATTTAAACCTCAATCAAACATATTTTGGGTGCCCAGGGAATAGTGGTCTCTGTAGGTTAGATATGTAGATGCAGATGTGATTCTTTGGGAACCTTCTCTAGCTCTATCAGTTCATGGTGACCCGAGAAATTTAGACCAATTCAGGGCTGTCAAAGCAAATAAACTGGATCTGACAGAGCTACAGAAGGTGGTGCTCTATAGTCTGTGTACTTAATTCAGATATGAGAAGGATCGGTAGTGGCCTTGTATTGTGCCAGGGTACTAGACATAGATAGCATGTCCAGCCAGCCTTTGGGATGCATGTATGGTCTAACCTGTTCTAGAACTGATTTTCTTAGAGACAGAACATTCTGCATTCATACACAAACCCTGGTTTAACTTTTAGAGGCCATGGAAATGTAAGTGTTATCAACAGCAAATGAGACTTGTACACTGAAAACTACAGTATATCATTGAAAGAAATTAAAGAAGATCTAAAGTGGAAAGCCATCCTGTATTCTTGGATAGGAAGACTGAATATTGTTAAGGTGGCAGTATTACCCAAATTGATTTATATACTTGACGTAATCACTACTAAAATTCCTCCCCTTTTTTTATAGAAATGGGCAAACTGATTCTAAAATTTATATAGGAACATAAGGAACTTAGAATATCCAAAATAATCAAAATGAGAATACAGTTGGAGGGCTCATATTTAATGATTTTAAAACTTACTACAAAGTTATAGTAATTAAGATTGTGTGCTATTGGCATAAGGATAGACATATTGACTAATAGAACTGAGAGTCCTGAAAGAAACCCATCTCCTATGGGGATTTGGTTTACAACAGGGTGTCAGAAAGATTTATTGGAAAAAGAGTCCTTTTAACAAATTGTGCTGGAACGACTGAATATCCACATAAAAAAGATAAATTAGGACCCCTACCTCATAGTATTTGCATAACTTAACTCAAAATGGATCAAAGACATAAATGTAGGAACTAAAACTATAAAGTTATAGGAAAAAAACCATAGGTGTAGGTCTTCGTAATCTTGGGTTAGGCAATGGTTTCTTAGATATGACACCAAAAGCACAAGCAACCAGGGGGAAAAAAAGATAAATTGCACTTCATCAAAATTAGAAATCATGGGGCTGCAAAGAAATCTATCAAAAGTGAAAAGACAACACACAAAATGGGAGAAAATATTCAAATCATATATCAAATAGGGTTTAGTGTCCATTATATACATAATGGATACTTACAACTCAACTATAAAAAGACAAATAGCAATTTTAAAAAATGAGCAAAGGCTTTGAATGGACATTTCTCCAAAGAAGACAAACAGATGGCCAAAGAGCATGTGAAAAGATGCTCGATATTATCTGTCATCAGGGAAATGAAAATTAAAACCACAATGAGATACTATGCTACATCAGGGAGGCTATAATACAAAAGACAAAACAGCAAGTGTTGGTAAGAATTAGTAATGGATGTGGTGAAACTGGACTCCTTATACATGGCTGGTGAGAATGTAAAATGGTGCAGTCACTTTGGAAGAGAGTTGGCAGTTCCTCAAAATTTAAACAGTTACCATATGACCCAGAGATTCCATTCCTAGGTATATACTCAAGGGAAATGAAAACATATGTCCACACAAACACTTGTATGTGAATGTTCATAGCAGTATTATTCATAATAGTGCAAAACTGGCAACTATCCAAATGTCTGTTAACTGACAAATGGATAAACAAAGAGTGGTATAACCATACAATGAAATATTATTCAGCAACAAAAAAGAAACATAGTACTGATTAATGCTACAACATGGATAGGATGGTTACTTTTACATGTCAACTTGATTGGGCTAAGGGATGTCCAGATGCCTAGTAAATCATTTTTCTGGGTATGTCTGTGAGGATATTTCTGGAAAAGATTAGCATTTCAGTCAGTAGACAGCACAGAAGATCTGTCCTCACCAGTGTAGGTGAGTGTCATCCAATCTATTGAGGGCCTGAATAGAACAAACAGGTGAGGGAAGGGCAAATTCTCTCTCTTTTCTTAACTGGGGATGTCCATCTTTTCCTGCCCTGTGACATTGAAGCTCCTGGTTCTCTGGCCTTTGGACTCTTGGACTTGTACCAGTAGCCCCCATTCCTCAGGCCTTCAGTCTCAGACTGAATTATACCACTGGCTTTCCTGGTTCCCCAGTTTACAGATGGCAGGTTGTGGGACTTCTTGGGCTCTAAAACTTCATGAGCCAATTCCTGTAATAAATCTCATCTCATCTCATCTCTCTCTCTCTCTCTTTCTCTCTCTGTAGCTCATGTCCATCTCCGTCTCTGTCTCTGTCATCTCTATCTCTATCTCTATCTCATCATTTATCTCTATCTCCTACTGGTTCCAAATGAACCTTAAAAACATGCTAAGTGAAAGAAGCCTTACACAAAGACCACAAATTGTATGATTCAATTTATATGAAATGTCCAAAATAGGCAAATCTATAGACAAAAAAAAAGATTAGTGATTGCCAGGGGCTAGGGGGCAGGGGAGTGGGCATTGGGCAATGACTGCTATTGGTACTGGTTACTTTTGGGAGATGATAAAAATATTCTAAAGTTAGACATCAGTGATGGTTGTACAACTCTGAGAATATACTAAAAAACACTGAATTAGGCACCTTAAAAGGGTGAATTTTATGGTATGTGAATTATACTTTAATCAAAAAATCAAAAGCAATATTAAGGCAATTCTAATTTTGCAAAGAAACAACAGGTTTTCACGAATTTACTAGGGAAGAGTATAATAGAATGTAAGAACACAGGTTCTAAAGACACATGGCCTGGTTGGAGCTCTAAATCCCAGCTTGCTAGCTGTGTTATCTGGAGAGAGTTAGTTCACCCCTCTATGACCCAGTTTCTTTATCTCTATGGAAAGTGCTTGGAACAGAGCCTTACACCTGGTGAGCACTCTATAAATGTTTGTCATTTTAACCATACACCGTAAAACATACTGGGCAATAATGAGAGGCAAAAACCACTATCAAGGAAGCTGTGCTGAGCATAAATGTCAGTTAAGGAGGAGCCCAGCAGGGCAGAGTACAAAGCTAATTGCTTCCCTGGTTTATTGTCTGAACTCTGCTCCACGCTGACTTGTGGAAAGAGACTGCGTTTAGTGGAAAAGGAGGGAGAGATAATGTAGGTCCAGGATAAAATAATTAAATTTAACCATACCTGGATCCTGGGGAAAAGTCCAAAAATTTGCTAGGGAAACACACAGAAGAGAAAATCAGACCAAGAGATGGTGAACAGTATTTAATATATTAATACTATATAATACTGTATATTAATATAATAAACAGTATTTAATATTAATTGTTCAATTATCTATTAAATTGAAATGAAGTTTCAATTGGTCAATTGAAATAAAGATCAGGCAAAAATGTTTAGGGTTTTCCTTTGGAATTTAAACACTAAACTCAGGATTTTGTTCCATCCTGTGTTTATTGGGTTCTCGTTCTCTCTCTCATTTCAGAAAGTGAGATCAAACAGGGCTCTTAAACAAAGATTAACTTTAAACTAAGATCGTTAAAGTTCATGTCACTGCTACATCTTTATTCTCAGGACAAATCAAGAAGCCAGGAAGGTGGCAGGTGTTTTGAGCAACATTCACGTCTCTTTGCTTTAAACTGTTTTCTGCACCTTTGTAGGGGTGTGCTTACAATTCTGGATTTTTCTGTAGATCTCACTTTTTCTGTCCACATACAGCAAGTATAGATTCTACTAGATGGACCAGATTACATACCCATTTTGAGGGAATGATATAAGCTATTAAATACTTTACTTAAAAGGAGATAGAGAAACTGTTGTCTGGTTTTACACTTCTGAATTCTCTTCTCCTATGTAAATACATTTTATTTTATATATTCTTGGCTTCATCATAGTTCTGCTTTTGTAGTTACTCCTCATTGGATGTCAGTTAGTAATTTCAATGCCTTGTACTTTTACTCTTTATAAATTTCATGATGTTTTACAGATAACCATCTGATAAAGAGATGTTAAATGATCTGCTAAGGTCACACGAAGCTGCTGACCTCATGCCACCACTGAGATCACATGACTCCTTTGCTTTTATTAGGAGAGGATTCTTCCCTTTTGTTGTACATTTCTTCTGGAGCTTTCTATTGAGAAATCATGTAGGTGAGGAAAGTATGATGAATTCCAGGGGAGAAGGCTGCTGAAGCCCAAGTGAAGGTTAATGCCTCATTATTCTGGAGTCCACAGTGGTATAGAAATAACATAATTTAAATTTCATCTGAATCTTAGATTATTCCCCAAAGTATCACCTGTCTTCTGATGCCTTAACCTTTGTAGCCCTAAAAATTATTAGTCGTGATAACTAAGAGGACAAAAAGTCTGATCAACAAATGACAGGGCAATGAGTAGGGGTGGTTTGAAATTCTCTGAAATATCAAAGCCTTAACAACAGCTTAACAGGTCCCCAAATCATTTACCATCTCTCTCTTCTTAGTCATCTTTTTTCTCTTCATCTGTTTCTTTGAAATCTTAAGAAAGATTATTTTCAGGAACCATTTACTATCTTAGTCTTAGAAATTAAGAGAAAAAGAGTAAACTCCTTTTTATGCATAATTTCTGAATGACAAAACAGTGTAGGAATCAAATGACCTCATGCCACCCCTCATGACCACTATGCCTACACCTCACCCTGCCCTCAACCCCGCCATGTCCGCATCCATGTACACACACTGGTTCTTTAACTGCGGGAGGCAGAGATACTTCAGAAGAGGTGGCAGTGGGCACGTGGCCAGGGTGGAGAGGAACATGATAATTCTACCTCTGAAATACTTTTATTCTAAAACTTTTAACTCCTTTCATATATTTTATCTCATTTTCCCATCAGAGTGCCTCTTATTAGGTAGTGTAAGGATTATGAGCCATTATTTTACAGATTAGGAATTAAAACCCAAAGAAGTGATGAAACTTGCCCAAAATGACAGAGAGAGAGAGAGAGAGAGAGAGAGAGAGAGAGAGAGAGAGAGAGAGAGAGAGAGAGAGAATATTAAAACATGGCTGCCAATTTAGAACCTTACCTATTAAATTAGAGCTGATGTATTTCCTCTATATTAATTAAGAAGGACGATTAAGAGGATTAAGGCTGAGTTCCCAAACTTGACTGCATATTGGAATTAACATCTGGAGCTTTAAACACATTCCTGTACCAGGTTCCCATTCCCGGAGGGTCTGATTTGGACTTAATTGATGGGTCCTGGGCATTGAGACTTACAGAACTCCTCAGGGGGAACCACATGGGCTTATATTTTGAGAATTAGCCCATGGAATGAAGTCTAAAATCAGCCACCTTCACTTTTATTGTAAGCATATGATATTTTAAATTCAAAAACTATGAAGCAATTTAGCAAAATATAACAAGACAGTTGAAAAAGTAAGATTATAAAAAGCGAATGCTTTCCAGAAGGATAGTGAGAAAATCGTACTAGAAGCCTAGGTGAGATTTATTTGAAGTATACGCTAAACTTAGATCTCAGGAAATAATTCCCTTGCCCCTCTGTTGATCCGCAGAAACAGGGGTATTCCACTTATGGTATTAGGATATCAGTGCTGCATAGAATGAAGGTCTTATCCAAAAGGAGAGATCGTTTGAAGATGTCATAATTTTAATAATAGTAATAGTAATTATTATAGAGTTATTTTTATTCCTATCACTAAAATAGGAAAAATTAATAACAGCTGCTCTTTACAATAAGTGGTAGACATTGTTGTAAGTATCATTTAATTCTTACAGTGACTTTGAGTTAGACAGTCGTAGATGAGAAACAGGTTTGGGAGAGATTAAATAATTTGCTCAAGCGCACACAGGCGATCAGAAACAAAACCAAGTTAATGGATCTCAGAAATGTGCTGAGCTATGCTTCTGAAACTTGTAACAAAAATTGGAAGTGAGCTGAAGCCTAGGAATACGCCTCACTGGCTTTTCTCATGGAAGATATATGGAAAGAAGTGTTGGAAAACTGACCTTTCTCCTGGGTACCAGTTCAGAGCAGGGTGTAAGAAGAAGATGGCAGATGGCTGAGGAGGGGCTTGCTGTTGGGCTTCTGTGTGGCTATATTCAGATAAAAAGTAGGCTATAGTAAAATTGCAAGCTCCTACTTAGGAAAATACACACCCACACCTCACCCTGCTCCCAACCCCGCCATGTCCGCATCCACGTACACACACTGGTTCTGCATTTTTTGTTTACTGAATTTGTTTTCCAACTATTCTCTTTTAACGTTTAGCAAATCTCTCAGCCCTTTGATCATACTGTACCTGTGTACAGGCTTTGAAGGAAAGTCACACTCTTGAGACCATTGTGGTGGGATGGTCGTAATCAAAACTGGAGAAGCTGAAGGAGAAGGTAATAACTCAGGAACACTAAATTGTAATCCTTGGTCTGAAAGTAATTATGTTACGTAAATGAACTCTTGCTAGAAGAGGCACTTGTAACTACTACAGTGGAAGAACACGTTTACAGTCTTATTAATTCTCACTAGATTCCTCTAAGTGGTCATGACTGTCTCAGTGTACAGATTAGAAAATCAAGGCTTTACAAGGTCGAGATAAATCCATCCCACATCTCTGATGCTAACCCTGTGTTTATTTTACTATCCCATAGTTTGATGGAGATGACATATCAGCCTTGACCCTGGCAGTTCCAACTTGGCGCTCTCCCAGGTAGGAAACATAATGCCTGAAGCAAGAAACAAGCAACCGCTTGCTAAACTCCAGGTCCTCCCTGTAACGTTAGGCCACCAGGCCCCTCTTTGAAGACGTAAGTTTTGAGATAGTGATTCTAGTTTGTCGTTCATTCTGATCACTAGCTCTCTAATAAGATTTTCTCCCTTTGGTCTTCTCTGTCACCCTCAGCCAATTTTCTTCTTTTTGTATTTCTGCTTTCAAGCTTTTCTGCCTTCCAGGCTTTCCTCCTTCCATTTTCTTATTATAAAATAATTAAGGCTTAATTCAGGCAATCTGGAAAATAAACAGTAGAGGGGGAAAAAATCATTCTTTCAGTCACCATTGTAACATTCTAAGGGTTCTTCTCTGGGTTTCTCTTGAATAGGTGTTTTTCCCCTCAGCTATGCAGTTGTGTTCTTTCTCTCTTTATTCATATTTTTAAATCTGCTTTTATCACTTTATTTATAACATAAAATAGTCCCCATTTATTAAAAATTTTTGTGAACATAAAATTACTATATTACAGTATTACATTATATAGCTAATATAAAAACTTGGCTGCCCTCTTTGTATTAGTTAGGGTTCTTCAGAGCAATAGAACTAACAGGATGTGTAGGTATGTACATCTATCTGTCTGCCTATCTCTCTATCATCTGTCATCTACAGAGATTAATTTTAAGGAATGTGTGGATGCTTGGCAAGTCCAAAGTCTTCAGGGTAGGCCAGCTGGCAGGAGACCCAGGGAAGAGTTGAGTTTGAGTCCAAAGTTTGTAATTTGCTGACAGAAAATTCCTCTTCTTCTGGAGAGGTCAGTATTTCTTAAAATTCTCATTAAGACCTTCAATTGATTGAATGAGGGGGCATCCTCATTCTGGAGAGTAATCTATTTTATTCAGTGTTCACTGGCTTTAATGTTAATCTCATTTTTAAATTCCTTCACAGAAACATCTAGAATAATGTTTGACCAAATATCATGGTACTATGGCCTAGCCAAGTTGACACATAAAATTAACCATCACATACTCCTTGATGAAAATTTAAGTTTATTTTTGTTCTTAAATTTTTTATTGCAGACGTTTCAAATATACAAAAGCAGAGAAAATAGGTAGGAAGGTAGGATGACTACCCATGTGCTAATCACCCAAATCCAACAATTTTCGACAAATGGCCAATCTTGTTCCATTTAGATCTCCACTCACTTCTACTTTTCCAATTAGTAGGATTATTTTAAAACAAATGCATCTTTCTGTTTCAAAAGAGATAAATAATAGCACAATAAAATGTGTATGTGTGTTCAGAAACAGCTTCCATTAAAAAAAAACCCTCTTATGATTGACTCCTGGGAATGAAATTACTGGGTCAAAATTGTGAATGCTCTTGAGGATCTTTATTTACAGATTGCTGTATTTGTTTCCATAAATGTAAAAATTTAGATTTCCTATCAAGGTGTAAGAGTGGGCTTTTTTCACAGGGCTCTTTCGAGAAATTCTCTCAATGTTTTTCTTAAATGGATAGGCAAAAAGAAAATTTGCCTTGCTTTAATTTTAATGTGTATTATGTAATGACTGCAATTAAATTGGACATCTTTAATCTTACTACACCCTGCTTCCACATTTGTTAAACATTTTGGTTTGTGAATTGGTTTTCTTTTGTTTTGCACTTTCCACGACCATTTATTTATTGACATCTTAGAAATTTTCTCATTTAGTACAAATATCTGTGTTTTTATTCATAGATTGGTTGAGCTTTCCATTGTGATTTTCTTTTCTATTGGAAGGAATCCTTTCTTTTAAACTTAACAAGTTCTTATCACTCTAATATAACTTATACTGTTATTTTTTTGTTTCTTAAAGTATATAGTCATTTTTCCAACTAAAATTTATTTTTACATATGGATGAAGCAAGGATCTAAATTATTTTTTCCAACTGAGAAATCCATAATATGTTTATCATTCATAATCTATACCATGCATGATCAATCTCAGTAGTTCTCAACCTCAGTATAGTTTAGTATCTCCTGGAAAGCATTGCCTTTTTCAAGGTGAAATCATAATCTATGGGAATCATAATTGTCTTCATCTCTTCCAGAATGAGGGGTGGGCCCCAGCATTGGTTTTTTTTTTTTTTTTAAAGCTCCCTAAGGGATTCTAATGTACAGCCAAGTCTAAGAATCTGCTTATTTTGTTTCATGTTGACTTCTTTAGATTAAATATTCTCCTGGGTACCAGTTCAGAGCAGGGTGTAAGAAGAAGATGGCAGATGGCTGAGGAGGGGCTTGCTGTTGGGCTTCTGTGTGGCTATATTCAGATAAAAAGTAGGCTATAGTAAAATTGCAAGCTCCTACTTAGGAAAATACACACCCACACCTCACCCTGCTCCCAACCCCGCCATGTCCGCATCCACGTACACACACTGGTTCTGCATTTTTTGTTTACTGAATTTGTTTTCCAACTATTCTCTTTTAACGTTTAGCAAATCTCTCAGCCCTTTGATCATACTGTACCTGTGTACAGGCTTTGAAGGAAAGTCACACTCTTGAGACCATTGTGGTGGGATGGTCGTAATCAAAACTGGAGAAGCTGAAGGAGAAGGTAATAACTCAGGAACACTAAATTGTAATCCTTGGTCTGAAAGTAATTATGTTACGTAAATGAACTCTTGCTAGAAGAGGCACTTGTAACTACTACAGTGGAAGAACACGTTTACAGTCTTATTAATTCTCACTAGATTCCTCTAAGTGGTCATGACTATCTCAGTGTACAGATTAGAAAATCAAGGCTTTACAAGGTCGAGATAAATCCATCCCACATCTCTGATGCTAACCCTGTGTTTATTTTACTATCCCATAGTTTGATGGAGATGACATATCAGCCTTGACCCTGGCAGTTCCAACTTGGCGCTCTCCCAGGTAGGAAACATAATGCCTGAAGCAAGAAACAAGCAACCGCTTGCTAAACTCCAGGTCCTCCCTGTAACGTTAGGCCACCAGGCCCCTCTTTGAAGACGTAAGTTTTGAGATAGTGATTCTAGTTTGTCGTTCATTCTGATCACTAGCTCTCTAATAAGATTTTCTCCCTTTGGTCTTCTCTGTCACCCTCAGCCAATTTTCTTCTTTTTGTATTTCTGCTTTCAAGCTTTTCTGCCTTCCAGGCTTTCCTCCTTCCATTTTCTTATTATAAAATAATTAAGGCTTAATTCAGGCAATCTGGAAAATAAACAGTAGAGGGGGAAAAAATCATTCTTTCAGTCACCATTGTAACATTCTAAGGGTTCTTCTCTGGGTTTCTCTTGAATAGGTGTTTTTCCCCTCAGCTATGCAGTTGTGTTCTTTCTCTCTTTATTCATATTTTTAAATCTGCTTTTATCACTTTATTTATAACATAAAATAGTCCCCATTTATTAAAAATTTTTGTGAACATAAAATTACTATATTACAGTATTACATTATATAGCTAATATAAAAACTTGGCTGCCCTCTTTGTATTAGTTAGGGTTCTTCAGAGCAATAGAACTAACAGGATGTGTAGGTATGTACATCTATCTGTCTGCCTATCTCTCTATCATCTGTCATCTACAGAGATTAATTTTAAGGAATGTGTGGATGCTTGGCAAGTCCAAAGTCTTCAGGGTAGGCCAGCTGGCAGGAGACCCAGGGAAGAGTTGAGTTTGAGTCCAAAGTTTGTAATTTGCTGACAGAAAATTCCTCTTCTTCTGGAGAGGTCAGTATTTCTTAAAATTCTCATTAAGACCTTCAATTGATTGAATGAGGGGGCATCCTCATTCTGGAGAGTAATCTATTTTATTCAGTGTTCACTGGCTTTAATGTTAATCTCATTTTTAAATTCCTTCACAGAAACATCTAGAATAATGTTTGACCAAATATCATGGTACTATGGCCTAGCCAAGTTGACACATAAAATTAACCATCACATACTCCTTGATGAAAATTTAAGTTTATTTTTGTTCTTAAATTTTTTATTGCAGACGTTTCAAATATACAAAAGCAGAGAAAATAGGTAGGAAGGTAGGATGACTACCCATGTGCTAATCACCCAAATCCAACAATTTTCGACAAATGGCCAATCTTGTTCCATTTAGATCTCCACTCACTTCTACTTTTCCAATTAGTAGGATTATTTTAAAACAAATGCATCTTTCTGTTTCAAAAGAGATAAATAATAGCACAATAAAATGTGTATGTGTGTTCAGAAACAGCTTCCATTAAAAAAAAACCCTCTTATGATTGACTCCTGGGAATGAAATTACTGGGTCAAAATTGTGAATGCTCTTGAGGATCTTTATTTACAGATTGCTGTATTTGTTTCCATAAATGTAAAAATTTAGATTTCCTATCAAGGTGTAAGAGTGGGCTTTTTTCACAGGGCTCTTTCGAGAAATTCTCTCAATGTTTTTCTTAAATGGATAGGCAAAAAGAAAATTTGCCTTGCTTTAATTTTAATGTGTATTATGTAATGACTGCAATTAAATTGGACATCTTTAATCTTACTACACCCTGCTTCCACATTTGTTAAACATTTTGGTTTGTGAATTGGTTTTCTTTTGTTTTGCACTTTCCACGACCATTTATTTATTGACATCTTAGAAATTTTCTCATTTAGTACAAATATCTGTGTTTTTATTCATAGATTGGTTGAGCTTTCCATTGTGATTTTC